ATTGTTGTTACTTACAATAGTTATTTCAACAACTGAATACAGAATTTCCTAAAAAAATTCTTCCTAGTGGAGAGCTTTCTGAAGATGGTATATAAACCTTAAGAGAGCTGATAAAGGATCTTTTATGTATAACATGGCCTGATATGATAATCCAGTTCCAATGTGTACAATAAATAGTAAAATGTTGGAAAGGATTAATAAATTCTTGAAGAATACATAATATCATATAAGTTATCATGGTCACACATTCATCACTCAGACTCTGAACGATTTCAATAATTTTAAGTGCCATCCTGACCTCTGGACAGAATAAAAGATCATTAAGTTATCATTCTTGCTCTATCCATCTATGAGTTGTTTGGGCTTAGGCTAAGCAGAGTAACCATGAATCTTCGTAAAATGTCTTCTTATTTGCTTGCATTTCAAGTTAAGAATTGGTCCTTAATAGGAATTATATTATCATTAAATCAATCACTGATCAAACACTCATTTAAGTCAGACATGTTCTCGCTATCCATAGTTTAAAGAAGAACTGTTTCTATTGGCGTTATCTAACATGTGAAACTTGAGTATAATGCTCTGAATGCTGCATGCAGATGTCATTGGCAATTTTCTTCTCCCCTTATTTCTATTTCATTGAAGATATTGCTTTTATGTTTTTCTAACCATGCTCGGATTTCTCTGTGCAGAAGCTGCACCAGTGGTTCGTAAAAAGACTAGGTCCTTAGAAGCAAACCTCTTCTTTGGAAGATGTACATAATAGATCCAAATCAACCTCTTCATTGACCTTATAGATTGTTTAATACCGAAATTAACAGCAAAGAAGGAAACACTTTTGTTTCTTGACCAAGAGTACGAGTGTTGTGTTAGTCAACTCATTCTACCTATCAGTTTCTTTCCAACTTGAAAGAAATGCAACATATATTTTTTTGTTATATTAATGATTGTGTTTCAAATCATTTGTTATTATTTTGGAGTAATTTGTCTATTCATTTTTTGTATTTCAATTTCTTAATAAATTAGTATTTTTTTTTTTGTAAATTAGAATTTTGTTTTTTGCTTAGTTGAAATTCCTTTTTTTAAATTAAAGTTTTAGTATATTTAGTTCTGCTTTTTGTTCTACAAATTTGTACGATATCTTCTCTACTTTATCACTGTTCATTGAAATCTATTACACCAACATCCACATTTTTTAAGATTATCAAACCTACATGTATTTGTGCTTAATAAATCTAAATTTTATATATTTTTTACATTTTTTTAATTTTAAGTTTTAGCTCTTTGAATTGTTTGAGGTTTATTTTATTTGATTTTACCTATGTTTAATTATTTTTGGGTAGCTAAGGATTAAATTACAAGAAATTGAAATTCTTAAGACCAAACCAAAGAAATCAAGATTAAGAAGATCAAAGTGTCAATTTGTTAAAAGTATGAGGGATCCAAACAATTTTACCAACGAAGAGTTAAAATTGCTTTCAAGGCCAAAATTCCGACACGAACTCTTTTCGAGAATACAGTGAAAGTGTCGGCACTTGTTTAGCGTGTCGATACCTTGGGCGATTTCCAGCACATTAACACCAAGTCGTTCTTGCTTAGACATGCTTCCACTTCTATTACAATTAGGTTTCCAGCAAATATTTATCCAGTACTAGAATTAAAGGCAGCCGGTTGAGGAGGAGATTTTTCTAGCAAGAGGAAGAGTAGGAACTCCAGTGAAAAAGAAAAAATTTTTTAACGGTGCAATTGATCAATTTTGGATTTTTTTAATTTTTATTAAAAATGAGATTTTTTTTTTAATTGATCTCTATATATCATGAACTAAGTCAATTTTTATAGGGTTCCAATTGGATTCAAACTATGAATCTTCAAGTTTAGTTGAATTTAATTTTTTTATTTATTTTTTGTTCAAGTAATTATTTTATTTTATATTTAATGATTTTAGTTGACTTGATCACTTAATTATTTAAATAGCTGGCACATATCTTAAAAAAAGTATTACAATTGAATCCTTAAATAGAATAATATAAGTTAAAAATAAAAATATACTCATAATATCTATATACAGTTCTAAAAGAAAAATTATAAGACTTAATAATATTTCTACTTATTTAGATTTGTGTAGAAATACAAAACTTGATAAATTAGAATATAAATATGACTAGATCTTAGGAAAAATTAGTAAATTATATATAGATTTCTTGCCTGTCACTTGAAAATTAATAAATTGAGAGAAAATTCAATAATAAAGTTTGAAGAGGATCGGGTTGACGAAAATTGTGTCCTAGATCGATGTTTAGAAATTGAAACTAATTTTACAAATTAGCTGAATTTAGAATTAATTAAATTGTGTTTCTCTATCTTAAATTTCAAAATTCTTAGATAAAATTACAATTAACATGACTTTCATACTTAGCGAGAGTTTTTTTTTTAATATTTATGCTCTAAGGGATAATTTGGAATACATTATTATATTACTTATTGTACGATAATGTGCATCTACATATTCACAATAATGTTGTTAATGTCCTAACTTCTTAAATTAATAAATTAATAGTGCATGCTGCATAATATATATATCCTTAGTTAATTAGTATTTTACTGCTTATTTGTGTTAGTATCTAAACTTGCAATAGATTTTTATTTTCAAATTTTTTTAAAATTTTATTTTTTATGCTGTAAGAAAAACAAACTGATCTGATTATTTATATAATTAATCCTGCATTGGAATCTATTGCATTTAAGAGATAAAAGAGTAAAGAAAGGGAACTCTGAATGTAGAAGAAATAGAATTTTGTAAGCCAAAGTTTAATATTTCACCGCTTCTAGTCTTGGTAATGTAAAAAACAAGACATAAATCAACGACAAAAATGAGTGGAATTATTCAATGTGGA